AAAAAAAACTTGAGTAGTGTTAAGATATGCATGTCAAATTCATTATCAATTTTGAGAGAATTTCTGTTTCAACACTACAAGATGAAATATTTAATTTCAAGTAATGAATAAACCTTAATAGAGTTCTATTCTTTTGTAACCACCAAGGCAAAGCTTCTTTCTTAAAATGAACTGAAACATCCAAGCTTGCCACCTAACATGCCAAAGTAGTGAAGTATAATTTAAGTAGAGAAGCAAGTACCCCTTAATTATAGAGGTGTCTTACACAATAAGGTGTGTCTTACACACCTTGACTCAAAGAGAGATGTGTAGTGAGATAACAGGTAAAGTAATTGGTGGAGCCTAGGTGAACTTAAAACCTTAAGACTTTAAATTAAGAAGCACCAGGATTCATGTGTGTTCTTTTTTCAAAGGTTTAATATGAATTAAAACATATATATGTAAAAAGAAGACTAAATAAGTTAAAAATAACTATACCAAAGACACTGTGAAGTCAAACTTCCTGTTAGACCGCCATGATGGAAAATGCTGGGTGGAGGCAAAATTTTCCAGTCAAAAAAACTGAGCACTTTACTTTAACAACAAAGTTACCACTCCAAAGCCACCCACCATGGTGAGAAGAAAAATGATGACCAACTGTCATGATAAGTCTTTTTAGATTTAAACATGAAAAAGGTAAAGGCCAAAATGGTACATTTACCCATAACACTAGAGTAAAAAATTGGTATTCTGAACAAATCAGGTTATTTTTTTCAAGAAATATTGGAGCAGTATCCATGCAATATATACCACGCCACGACCAAGATGTTCAAGAATCTAAACACACCAAATTTTTTTATAATCTTGCATTTGAAAAGTACAAAAAGCGGTAAGGCTTTTGGCCGTAACAAGCGTAACACTTTTTGATCGGAACTCATGAAAATTGTCAATTGTCGTATCCAAGCTAGACCACATGTAAAATCGCAAAAATAAACAATACTGCTCAAGCAAGTGTGTTGCACACATAATAATTAGTTAAATTTTATGACTGTCATGTGACACAAGTTTCAAAAAGTAGGAGGAAAATGTCTTTTGGAGTAATTTTTTTTCGAAATATTAACAAGATGGCGGCTTAAGCATCTGCTTGTTATTCGGCTACTGAAAGTGCACCTAAGTTTTATTCTTTGCTATTGCCACAAATTACTTAACAATTGTAACTGTATAAAGACCAAACTTTCTTCATCTGATACTATAATTATAGGCACTTGTTATGAGTGGGAAATATTTTTCGTGCAATATTTATTCTCCACACACCACCTCGCGAGATCAACGTGTAGCTGGACACTTACACAGTGAGACCCTACGACATAAACGTTGCAATTTATCTTCATATTTCGTGTAGTTATGCATTTAAAAGCACTTACCTGTTTTTTGAAAACCTTGTCCAACGTACTATCATATAAATTCTGTATTTCTCTCATTTTTTAGAAACTTGGGACTCCGTTTCTGTTTCTGTCCTCAAAAATCAACAGACGAAGGCACAGATACTAACAAACGAGATTTAAACGAGAGTAATTAAGCGTAACAGAGATAGACATCCATTGTTCTCTGGGTTCTATTCATTCCGACCAATGAGAGACCGCAATACGGGCTCCGCCCCCACGCGTGTAATCTCCTTCTGTTATAACTCCTTGGTCCCATCATAAACCTTCATCAAAGTAACCTAACCTGAGATTTACACAAAAGGTAGTATTACTGACACTCTGATCAAAATAGAAGTTTAAGAAATATAAGCTTTGAGAAATTAAAAAATCCCAAAGTATACTGTGTGGACAGATAGTTGCATTATTTACCACCCAGCACAAATGGCTCACCAGAATCTCCTTTAAGTGGTCACTACTGAAAAGCTTTTCCTGAATCAATCCAGCACGGATAAGGGCTGAAACCTCCACTGTTCTAACAATGTTTTTGTAATTCTTTATCAGGGCTTCATATAGTTTTTCTTCTATATCTATTGTTGGATACTCTTTCCCGACAGTTGCCATTTTTGATTGGTACATTCAAATTTCCAACCGTCAAAGATTGACTGTTATTTATTTTAGAATACAAGTCCCGGGCTTCAGCTGCGACATGGTTAAAATTTTTGATTGGTTAAAATCAGAGTGTTCACTGGCCTATATCAAGGCTAGGGATGGATTCCATAATGACTTACATTTTTACCTGTATTGATTACCTAAATGGGTCAGTCAGGTTGTTACTGACATCAGTATTATGTTGAACTAGTGTTATCAGTAAGTTGTTTACATAGCACAATTACTTATCAGGTTCTCAGATTATGTGGCAAACTTGCCAGATTAAAGTATTGACTGGTATTTAAATATATCATCTGTGAGGTGGAAAAATAGACTCATACTATGAAGAACCCTTTGGCAAAACAAAATATGTTAAATATTAACTTTGTTACAATAGTTGAATGCTTAATGCATTACAGATTACTTTTATAAAGCTATAATCTTCCATACATAACAAACATCAAAGGCTGTGTAGACAGTTTCCCTGTTCCATTAAAACTACTGCTTATAATAATCGCTCTCAGTTACTTGGAATTTTTTATACACAAAATGTGTTTAGATTCACTCCAATACATAGTAATGCAGGGTTGAGATTTTTCCAACTCTCTGCAAATGTCCGGCATTTTGGTAGGCCAAAAATAGTATTGGCCTAGACGCCCCTGGACCCTACGCAGTATTTTCTGACTTTCTCATTAAATGGCAGTCTTGTCCTAGAATAATTACTTGCTTATGCTTTTAGTGACAATATAAGCTATGAATTATATGTATGTATGTATTTTAAATCAATTCCTCCTGATGATTAGGCATATCTTATGGGTATTATCGTGATACTCAGAGTTGGGGCTGACATGTCTCCTGTTTATTTATTTAGTTTTAATTATATATATATATATATATATATATATATATATATATATATATATATATTTTCCCAAATTTACACTCATGGTGTAGAGTTGTCATCAGAAGATGTTTCTCCCTTTCATCTTACAAGACTGGCTACCTTATTTTTAGATGGAGTCCTGTCTTTTCTTAAGCAGAGAGACATTGCATGTTTAATATTTATGGACAAAAAGATAAAAATTTAAGGAAAAAACTGACACTTACATATTGATCTGATCTGGTTTCTTCAGTCTCCTTAAATTCACATGTTTTCTGGTATATATCTTGCTTGAAGAGCACATGGGATAATGCAGTGCATGTTAAAAGGAAATGGGTGTCAATAAAGTAGTGCGCAGCTTACCAACTCACAATATAAATGGTGTATCACAAGGTCTGCGAATGAAAAATTCTATTTTTAGAAGCTTAGTCACATTGCAGTAGTGCAAGGTAAACACAGTGTGCATGGTATGCCAAATGTGTCAGCAGTTTTCTGATATGTAAGATATAAATGCTGATAGAAGTTATGTTTCCATTTCTGTATTGCTGTTTCTTTGTTAGAATAGTTTGGTGCTTCCTAAATATCCAGCAGGGATGGGCACCGTGGAAAGGGAATTGAAAATTAAGACATAAACATCCTTTCCTAACCCCATCTATACCAAACTGAGCTGGTACAGTCATAAATAATGATAGATGATAATATTTTAACTACATCACTTATAAGTAAAGTTACAAATTGTACACTTCAAATGCATTAAAAACAACCTTACTAAAGTGTAGAAATTTAAGAAACAATAAAAACATTAGGCAGATAATGTAACACTGTTTTTATTCTAAAACGAGAAGCACATTGTCAATTAAACCTCTTACAGCAGGGCTATTCATGATAGTTGTAATACTATTTTCTTTTCTGCAGGGTATCCAGCCACACATCACAGCTCTGCTGGGACTGTATAAGATGTACTGTCCCAGTCTGGTCACCATTGTCATACCCAGGTCTCAGAGGGTGAGTAGACTGTATAAGATGTACTGTCCCAGTCTGGTCACCATCGTCATACCCAGGTCTCAGAGGGTGAGTAGACTTTATAGGAAGTACTGTCCCAGTCTGGTCACCATTGTCATACCCAGATCTCAGAGGGTGAGTAGACTGTATAAGATGTACTGTCCAAGTCTGGTCACCATTGTCATACCCAGGTCTCAGAGGGTGAGTAGACTGTATAAGATGTACTGTCCCAGTCTGGTCACCATTGTCATACCCAGGTCTCAGAGGGTGAGTAGACTGTGTATAGTGTACTGNAAGATGTACTGTCCCAGTCTGGTCACCATCGTCATACCCAGGTCTCAGAGGGTGAGTAGACTTTATAGGAAGTACTGTCCCAGTCTGGTCACCATTGTCATACCCAGATCTCAGAGGGTGAGTAGACTGTATAAGATGTACTGTCCAAGTCTGGTCACCATTGTCATACCCAGGTCTCAGAGGGTGAGTAGACTGTATAAGATGTACTGTCCCAGTCTGGTCACCATTGTCATACCCAGGTCTCAGAGGGTGAGTAGACTGTATAAGATGTACTGTCCCAGTCTGGTCACTATTGTCATACCCAGGTCTCAGAGGGTGAGTAGACTGCCCTTTCACATTTCTATATATCTACAATACTTACGTTTTATTTTCAAAAATTGATGGTCACTATGCTGTTTAGCATCAAGTTATATTGCATCAAAATTGAATAGAGCCATGTTTTGGGCACTGCTGCCATAATGACCATTATAGGAAATCCATGTTGCTTCTGAGTCTCAAGCTGTCACATCAAGCTTGGCAGTTTTCTGTGCTGATCCAGTTTGAGAGATATCTAAAAGTAACTTGATCAATGATGGTCAGGCTTTTGTGTAAAAGAATCACCAAAAAGGGGTCCTGCACTCGGCGCTTTTTGTGAACCAGAATAATTCATTGGGGCTTGTGAATTGTATCGAAACTTTCCCATAGCGTAATCATGTTAGGACCAGTTGAACTGGAACATAGTGGAATACAGCACTTCAACATGGAATACAGCACACATTCAACTGATTGTTAAACTTTCTTCTGTTTCCAGGTGTTGTTTAAGCGCACTCAGCTGGACCGGGTGTGGAGCGAAAACATCCACAGAGTTCAGGAGCAGAACATGGCGAGGCGCAGAGAGCGGGAAGATGTCTCCAATCTCAGCATGTCCAGGTTAAGAGATGCTGATGCCAGTATTCTAGAGCCTGTAAGTGTGGGAAGTGAAATGGGGAGAACTGATGCATTAATTTTGTAATTTAAAATGTGGCCTAAGGCTCTATTCCCACAACTTTAGATCGATCTATCACCGCGGGGAGTCTCACTAGATTACTGTCAGATAATCCCCCTTAAGTGTCCGTCCCCGCCTACTACAAGCTGTAAGGGGTAATTAACCTTCGTGTCCGCCCGGCTGACAGCTATTTAGCGTGAACCCCCAGGGAGTTAGGTCGATCTAAAATAGGTCGATCTAATCTATGGAAATGGGGTGTAAGATTTTTCACAGATGAGCATGAATAAAGGTACCCTTCTTGCTCAGTCCTGTGCAGTTAGTATCATAAATAGAACTACGGTACTTTATCAATAAGATATACTGACTTTAAAGGGGGCGTTCAGATAAATCCATCATACTAGCTGGATTGATCCATCTCTGTGAGGGCTTCTCACTAATCTGATTGTGGCAGTATTGATAGTAAATGCCCACTGTGGAACAAAAATAGTTGTTGTAGTGAAGCAACACCCACCAACCGACGGACATTCAGCCTGATGATGCTTTTATGACAAGAGCCAAACTTAGCTGTTTCAATCACTACTGCAAAACTATCACTTAAACTTCATTGATTAAAATTACCTTAAATTTTCATTCTAATTTACCACAGCGAACCAAGCGTAGGAAAGTGGATCCCATCCCAGAGTTGTACACGGCTAATGTCACGTCCACCCAACTGGACACCTCAGTGAGTGCAGTGGACACCAGTCTGGACATTCACAGACCAGTGCCATTTGAACAGATTAAAACCATGAAGGATTTGTGCCACAATATATGCAGGCTACAGGTATTTATGATTTCAAGTGTGTGGATTTGATTTTGAATATAAACATATATATATATCAATATAGGGAGTGAATCTAAATATATATCAATATGGGGAATCTTATGAGATTGTATAAAAGGCTCATAAACTCCAGAAAAAATTATTCATTTATTTACTTATTAATTTTTTTCTACTACCTCAGATGCCAGGCCAGATGGGTTCCTCACTTCGCAGCAAACTTTTACTGTATTACATGTCCTGTACATCAAATCCCGTTACAGCTGCCAGGTTTTCTTACTGGCTCTCCAGTGTTTTATCAGAAGGTGAGTCAAGTATATGATCCTTAGCAGAGATTGATGATTAATGGGGACAATTGTGAATTTTAAAGATACTGTTTTAGACTTTACAAAGGGCCAAAATATCTGTCAGACCAAACAAAATCTGTCGAGTATATGATCCTAAGCAGATATTGATGGCTAGCTCTCGAAGAATTTTTAAAAAACTTTTTGGTCTGGCCATCCAGTTGGTGACTGACCAGTGTATCCATAAAAATTCATCAAAAGTTAACCCATGTCATTTGTTTACTAGTAAGGGTAAACATGTAAAGGATTTTAGAGAGGTTGGTTAGTTGTACAAGAGTAAAGAATAAATAGATAAGAAAATATATATGTACATTGCAGAAATTCTACATAGTCCATATAGTAAGCGAGGAGAAGAGATTTTAGAAGCACTAGCTAATTTTACAGACTTTTTACAGGTTAGTGATTTCTTATGTGAACTAAAATGACTTCATGTAGCAACATTTAACATATACTTTTTATGTTTTCAGATTCATATTCTGTGTAAGTTCTACTGTTGACATTTGAAATTAATTATACTGTCTACATTTATTTTATCAGTATTTTGTCATTTGTAATTATGGTCAAATAAGAATAAGGATGATTTTTTCAACAGTTTGGTTTTGCCACTAGATGAACTTTATCGTTGTACATTTTCAGGAGAGTGTTCCTGTATGTGAAACATTTTTAACCAAATATCTCCATCTCTGGGATGGAACAAGCTACAGGATATACATTTTAGTACTGATCACGAGATTTAGATTGTATCCATTTTCAAGTAAGTTCCTAATGATCACTAGGTTCAAATTGTATCCATTTTCAAGGTACTTCCTGATCACTAGGTTCAGATTTTAACCAATAAGTTAGCAATGTCCAAATTCACTTGTATCTGCTATAGGTTAAATGACGAAAAAAAAAAAAAAAAATGGGAGAAATAAAAAGGTTACAGGAAAGAAATTTTCACATTTTTTAGTGTAAAATATAAACTTGATTTTAATTTTGTGGATGCCAAAACATGCCCTATAGATTTAATTTCCTCATTTCAGCTCTGAATGACCTGTTGCTGGAACCTCTTCGCAAGTTGTTCTTTTGTTCTAATGTATATTTTAAGGTATGTGGGCTTTCTCTATGGTAAGTCTAACTTCTAGTTATGGGACTTATATCAAATTGTTCGCTGACTCCTGTTTGATATTATATTGCAGCTTATTATCACTATATATGAAATACCATTTGTCAAATAGTATTTTTTTTTAAATGACATTTTTCATAACAAGATGAAAAATATTTTTTCCGAAGGAAGTTGGGCTGAGATCCCAAAAGTGCAATTTATATCAGTTATATACATTAGTTACAATGGGGTAATTCACATCAGTTTCTCTTTCTATCTGTTTCTCATCTTATTTGGATAGAAAATATCAGTTGTTCTTCACCTTTCAGTGCCAGTTGCTGATCTGTTTAAGGAAGTTATTACAGAATTTCATTACGGTAGAATTGGAACGTTACAATACCACACTACGGAGACAAGAGAACGTGCTGGAAAACACGACAGAGTCTTTCAACCAGTAGGTTTACTTTTGTCTTTTTGTATGGACTGACTGGAATCTAGCATAGAAGTGAGGAAGTTCTTAAAGAGTCTAGTTTATGTTTTTTTAAAATGAAAGTGCTTGTGTCTGAAGCATATATTAATGAAACTCAATCAAGTGCTTTTGTCAAAGATATCTTTTATGAGTGACATTATGTATGATACTAGAACATACAACACTTGAATTTTATAGATGGTATATCCACCACATATATCTTGAAAGAGGATGAATAGTTCTCAGTTTTGTAATCAAGTTAATTTTTTCTTTATCCAAATGAATATGCAATCACTTTTATTTCAGTGTATCTTTATTTGTTGAAGAAGTTGAAAAGTTCCAGCCATTACAAACAGTGGCAGAGTTTATTGACTTTGTTGATGCAATGTGTTTGGTTGGCCTGGGTCTGGAGAGAGATAATGCCCTCATGATGTCATGTGTCTTAGACTTCTTTGAGCTGGTAAGTTATGAGAAGATTATTTATTTATTTATTTATTTATTTATTTATTTATTTAAATTTTTGAGAGAGAGAGGTTTTATGTCCTTAGAATTAATTAAAGATATAAAATGATGACATGCCTTGATTTGCCTCTGTTTGAAATAAGTGCTGCATCTTTTAGACACAAGTTATCATAATGTGGCTTATTTCACCTTAACTTGTAATGGTTTATTATGTTATGCATTGTATTATAAGTCCCATAACTATTAGTAACTTTAGAGTATGCAGTGTTCATGTTTAGTACAGTGATGAAAAAAGTCCAATTGTCTCTCATCAGCAGTTTTGTAGTCTTATGAGACATTTCAGTGCTAAATTAATGGAGCATATTTCACATTGTATTTATATCAATTGTAACACTGTGTTCCCACAGGTCTCAAGTCTAACAGTACAGTATGGCACTCCATTTGTTCTGCTGCCCAGTAGAGGTCTTATATACAAGGGGCTGTTTGCCAACAATGGGATGACTTGCTCACGGATGTGTGGTATTCTTTTAAAGTAAGTTCTGTGTGTGTGTGTGTGCGTCTGCGTGTGCGTGTGTGCATGCGTGTGTGTGTGTGAGAGTGTTAATGTTGGGGAAGGGGGTTAAGAACAGTGTTATGATCAATTTCCAAAAAAATCAATACTAAGAGTGAATAAAGTCTATAAGAAAATGAAACTTTTTTAAATTAACTAATATATATGTATATTTATTCATTAAAACAAGTTAAATAATGATTTGAAATAACTTACTTTTTCACAAGTTAAAGAAAAAAAGTTGTTTTTTTAGTTACATAATTTCTCTTTTTTTTCAAATTTGTATTTCAAGAATCATAGCTGAAATATTTTTAGATACATAATTATGTCATCCCACGCTATATTTCAGTTGTCGCAATGGGTTTCTGAAGCTGAAGTCCATGCCCAAGCCAGACAATCTTGGACTGGTGAACATTGATGTCAACAGTATTGACACCCTCAACGCCTGTGTACTGGACTTCTGTGACTCTCTGTGGAGGTAGAATACAATGAACATTGCTTTGTGCTGTCATTCAAGCTCGATGGTTTTCAGAGTCAGATATTATAGGCTGTGTGTGTGTGTGTGTGTGTGAGAGAGAGAGAGCAAAGAAGGACAAGGTGCAATTACAGAATGAGTCTACCAATTGTTTTGTAAGATAAATACTGAATTAGCTTTGATCTATATGGAAATGTAGTTAAACGATATATAAGATAGTGAATCTTGTCAATTATTTCTTTGCTGTTGACGATTGCTGTCTGTGAGTTGATGGTTACTATGATTAAATAGTGACCACAGATATATACTCTTCTTAACAGGTTCTAAAAATTGTATATATATATATATATATATATATATATATATATATATATATATATATATACAGTGATTGCGAAAGAGATTGAAAACTTACCAGACATGTGGGCTGGAGCAAATTAAATTTTGTCAGCCCACACCTTTTTTTACCGGCCCACAACAAAATAATTAAGCTGTTTATTTTCACTTCATTTTTGATGAATATTATTGTCTGGCATTTTAAATCGTTGCTTTTTAATTTTCAGGCCAGATGTAATAGGATGTTTAAAGGTTTAAGTTTAAACGTCTTTCATTTTGGTTGCTTTCTGGCATTTAAGTTTTATCCTTTTTACATCTGGGTTGCCTATCCTAATTTCTAATCTTTTAACACAAGATCATGTATCCTTTCAATATATATATATTATAGCATTTAATATATTCCTGAACTTAAAATACCAGTTAGTTGATAATCACCATGACTATATTTATAACATGTTTTCACATGTTATTACAGGTACAGAGCATTTAAGAAGGACACCAGGTACCCCACGGCATTCACGGTGGAGGATGGGGTGATGGAGGCCCTCAGTGTCCCCAGGGTCAATGAGTGCTTCTCACTACACAGGCACCAGGCTTTCCTGGGCTTTGCCTGGGCATATCTGAAGGAGGTACTGATGGGGTTTTTGAACACATAGAAAGTTTTGTGAAAGAGGATTCAGTTTTTGAGATGGATTCAAATATTACTTAAAGAATTTAATGAAAAGTGCAAGATTTTCAAGACTCAAAATTTGGTTTCTTCAGGTGATGTTGCATTTGAAACCTAAACTCATGGTTTACCTAAACAATTGGGAATGTTAACTTTTTTTGGGAAGGAGCGGGAGTGGAAGATTTTTATTGAGTCACAGTTTTTAAGCAATTTCAGTTTTGTCAGCGAAATGTATAAATGAGTCTAACAAAATCTCCACCCTTCACTCTAGTTCCAGCCTCCAGAGAAGAAGGTCCACCCAGACCAGATCAAGCAGGCCAAGCGTTCCTACCTGGAGTTCCTCCGACGTGAACAACTCCACGGCATAGCTGAGTTCATTGAACAGTTTATAAAGAAAGCCAGCAGTTCCATGTCTAAGTCGCACATAGCTGCTAGCATGGCCAGTCCATAAGTCTGGGAAACATGGAGGTTTTGTTATTTTTCAAGTTTGTGAAAATTTTTAAGATTCCTTCCCCCAATCTCCAAGAGTGACCTTGACCTGGTCAAGGTCAAAGGAAGAGTGATATATTACCTGTTGATGTACTCCTGGTATGACTTTGAGTGTATTGCTTGACACCTTCCACCTGCGGCTTGACATTATATTGACCTGACCTAGTTCACATTATTTTCCAACTACGACCTTGACCTGGATATAGCCATAGCCTGACCTTGTTCAAACAACCTTGTTCACACTGCCATCTTGCCCTGTGCTTAGTCGGCATGAGCTTAGTGTGAAATAAAGGCCACCAGTGCATCATACTTTGCTTAAAGCTGTGGCATAAAGTTTGGTTGTTGAAAAGCATTGAACAAATTTGTCCTTGGTTAATGTATATTGAAGCCAGTGCTGAGTTTTTTCTTGAAAAGTGTACAGTAAAGCTTTGAGTGTAGCATTTTAATTTTTTTATGTATTATAAACTGTACCTTGTGTAAAAAAGAACATATTTGGCAGAGCCAGTTATGTAAATAGATTTTGTTTGATAAAAACTGTAAATAAAGGACTAGAATAGCATTGGGAAAACCTTTCTCAATCAGTGTTTGAATTGTATAAAGAATTATGATATTTTAATGTAAAGCAATCAAATTTAAATTGTTTGGTTACAACTAAAGTTTACCTTGATGATAAATTGTTGTATTATCACACACTAGGTGATAATTTGCATCTTGAGAAGTTGCTGTTAGTATTCTGCATTACATTTTAACAGTGTGATTGGCTGCATTTTGAAAGAAAGATATGAAAAGGTACAAAATCTTTTAAACATTGGTGTTTTGTTTATATTCCAGCAAAGAGTTTTAATTCTGTTACAATTTGTATCATTTTTTTTTTCATCTCATTTTAACTTAAATTTAACTGGATGGAGACAATATTTTCAGAGCATTGTACATTATAATGCTTATTTTATGATATTTAAATATGAAATGTATAGTTTTGTCTTCAGAATTTTAGTATAAGTTTTTGTTTAAATGTTACTCTGCTAGTTGTCTTGTACAGCCTTTTTAATACCTGTTGCATCTGAAATTTTATAAAACTACATTTTATTTGAAACAAATGTTTCTAATAATATATGTTATCAGCAATATGTGTGTTATGTATGTACGGAGCAATGATTTTGTGACTCATTAAATTGATTGCAAGAAAATTGTTTACCCAATAAATTTTGAAAACTCTTTTTAAAGGTGCAACTAAAGTGAGTTGATAAATCAAATAATTTTCAAAAATACCCCATTGCTACCAAATGCCACCATATAGTTTCAAATAGCATAATTTGAAGAAATACCAAATAATATTTATCATTTCATATTTCCCAAAGAATTCTATTTTAACAGATTTTCTGCTTTCTTCATGGTGTATGTAACCTTGATCACACAATTATACTGTTGTGCTGGCTACAGTAATGCATCATATGCTACTAAGTCATGTTACTAGAAGGACAGACTAAGTCAAATTTATGGTCAGAAATTTGATGGAGCTGCGGTTTTAAAACTTAAAAAAAAATTTTGGCTGACTGAGTAATTAATTTGGTTTATCCTTTGGCATGTGTAATTTATTTGAGTTTAAAGCAGATAGTGACATTGTGCAGCATGGGCCAATCTCTCTTATTTGGCAATTATAAAACCTTGACCTTGTTCATCATGAAGTGATCTTTCCTAAAATCATAAAATCAAAACCATGTTGACAACAAAATAAGTTTCTTATATTCTGTAAACAGTTTATTTACAAAAAAAATAATAACAGCAATAGAACACAACAATGATCAACGTAAAAGTTTACAATATCTCCTCAAGTAACATATTAACTGCCGGCTAAAGCGTCATACATCCGTACAATATACACATTTACATTGTTAGTCAAACTTGAATGCTGGTTTTTAACTGGGCTCCACCTAAAACTACCAATTTTAACCAACTTGGTGAATATGTCAAACTTGCCGATATGGGTTTTAGGATAATTACATCCAAGAATAGTGATCAGTAGCTCACAGTAGAGTCCATTGTAGAGAAAATATCACAGGGAGTTTCTTGTAACTTTTTCTTTTTAATATTTCAAGCAAGACAACAAATTCATTTTGTAAAATTTTTCAAAAATTCTAAAAGTGAATTTAAGAAGTTATTATTTACAAACAACCATGCCTCCTTACAATTTCCTTGTTTATATCAGTAAACTTCACCATCAGCTAACTTTTTAGAAGCTAGAGGTGCTGCAACTAACTAATACCTCCATAACATTACGTAACCCTATTACATGAACCAACTGTAACTACTTGTACATATTCTGCACTGGCATTCTTTTCCTAGGACTTGAAATTAAAATATGCACCAATGTTATAAACTTGCTTACCCACGGGTATGATACTTAGTCAGAACCTGAGTAGTGAAAAATAAATAATATCTTGAATTACAGTACTGTTCACATTGGGTGAAAAGAAAACCATAGTGGTGAAATGTACAGGAAGAAATAATCCATTTGGATATAAAAATAAAATCTGAATGCTGCAAGCATGATGGCATACATCTTCACGTGGGCAGTTGGAGGGTTGAATAAATACAACACCCAAATGTCCTCATCCTGATGTCAGCTAGCTATTCTGAACTAACAGTATTTTTACATCTCTCTCTCTCTCTCTCTCCTCTCAGGAACTCTCCAGCTTCAGGAGATTCCATTCTGACCTGCTAATCACCTTCTTCATTACAATATTAATAATGCTTGTGCTGACCTTTTCCAGAAACAAAACTGTAGTATATATAAGGGTGCACCAATGCTTCAACATTGATTATTTGCCATATGCCTTTGTACATATTGGTAAAACTTCTTAATATCAAGAAAAAAATGCTGAAAGGTAACAATATGTCATCATATTCATTATCATCCTTCGGCCTTGGGCAGAATGGTAGCAGAGGCACCGATGGAATGACAACAATGATAAGAAATTAATCCCAACAAATGGAACCCCTATGGCATACAGCTACTTTTTTATCCCTATCTCTGAATCAAAAGTATCTTTGAAAGAGTATTCCTAATATAATAAATAAATAAATAATCAAAATTGTTAATGAAATAAATGTCAACAATCCATGTTTGTACGAAACATAGTGACTGTGTTCTCGTTATACAAGAAATTAAACATGCACCTAAAACAACACTACAAGTGCCCCCAGATGTTTCCAATTCAAGCTAGCCTACAAGCTTAAAGCTAGCAATTTGTCTTCCTAATATCAACATAATCTCTCTTTCTATGTCTTTAGTATATGTTACTTGACAAAAAGTGATATGCAAAGACGTTTCAAGAAAAATCTATATGCTATTTCCCTGCCTTATTCACCCTTGTATATTTGATGTTATATACCACACGAATGACCATCATGAGACCATCATTGTTTTCATTACAGTAATACAATACACCGAGTTTCAAAGGTCACTGGAAACTCATTTCTACTCATGGTAAAAGTCAAGAGGGTGAGTGTCCACCTTTCAAATTCAGGGTGCATTCCACCAATTCAGCAGCAGTGTTCCACAAGCACTTCTATCATTAAGAGAGCTCGCATCTCCAACTAGGACCCATACTAGTCTCCAGCTTTGAAAGCAACGTAATCCTTAATATATGACACTGTTGTTACTTGGGAATGAAATTTTGAACACATTCTACACACGTTATTAAACATCCACCTACTCATATATTCATCGCAATAACTATAATGCATACTTCCCAGCAGAAAATGCCCTTAAAAAGGTTAGAGTGTATTTTGTCATACTTCATACTTTTTTATAATTCCTTATTCATTTCTTCCTGTTCTAGAGTAAGGACTGTTCTATCATTATCTTGTTGTATCCTTCTGGTGGTTCATGGAAGAAGCAACTAAATTGCACGTCTAAAATAGCACCCTCGTCAACTGAAATAAAGACAAAGTTAACAAAATTAATTAGTATAAACATATCATATATATATATATATTCTTTTTTTTTTAACAAACTTGTTATGCTATATATCCGACAACAAATAAAAGCAATATATTTTGCGAAATAACCCTACAACTGGAAAACCATTCCATCATGCAAATTACATGATCAGCTAAATTTATTTTGCTGAAGAAAAATACTTGAGAGAGAGAGAGAGAGAAAGACCCACCATAACACACTGGGTAAATGGTTCCTTTTATTCCAGTAAAGCTGGTATCTAGTTGTTTACCATTAAGATAGAAATTCAGAGTCACATGGTCATAGCTTAAACCCTGAAAAAAAATACACAAAATCATATAATAGCTATTGGAGTAAATAGTTACTAGGTAAATTAACTAAACCTTCTAAGATTTATGTTTTTGCGAGACACTATTAAACAAAACCTTTCCATGTGACTTATAGCTACAAATATTGTAGTTCTTCACTACTGCCTTCATGTGAAGAACATACAAATTTACAAAGCAATAAAGTGATAATTTCAAAGAGGATGACACTCTTCAAACTTTTTCCAATTTTTTTCTTACCAACAAGTCTCCCTCTTGTGGAACCTCTTTTAACTTTCCCCTCTCCTCATTGTTGTGGTATAATGTACCATCCTGTCGTACCACCCAGCTCTCTGTGGTGGTACCCAGTGGTACTGTGTTCAGGTTACACTTCTTTGTGGCCAGACCCACGCCCCATATACCTGTGTATGTGTATAAATAATGTGTTATGATATTAATACTAGATCTGTGCTAAACTTCCTTGTGGCCAGGCCCATATACTTGAGTATGTGTAATTTATTTTAGCAGAAAAAATATATTTAAAATTGTCTGACTAAAAAATCAAAATTGCACATGTCAAATGGAACCAGTAAAAGAAAGTAAAATGTAAGCATGTGATTTATCACATCACTAGTGAAATACCTGTAGATTGTAGTTTAATTTCAAAGTAGGCCTTGTCTTGTACAATAGGTGCATTGGCCAGTGCAGCTCCTGTGCCACATATTCTTCTGCAGTTCTTCACTATCACCACGTCACTGCCTGGAAACAACATGACAGTTATGAATGAATGAATGGATGGATGATGAAAGAAAGTATGAATAAAATAAACTGCTAATCATATAAATAAATAAATACAAGATTGTATGAATAATGGAATTCATGAATAAATGAATAAAAAAACAATAAAGAAATTAAATAATTATTACAATTTGTATAGATTTGATGCAGAGCATATTTCAATGATTATCCAAATCACTCCAAAACCTAGTCATTGTTCCTTACCAGCAGCCCATTTGTGACCTTTCCTGACAATTTCATCAAAATCTGCCATTAACTTTTTGGTATAATGGCGTGAACAGACAAACCTAAGCTTTGACATGTCTGAATGAATCTCTGATGTACTTTTAAAAAGCAGAGAGAAGCATAGCATAGTCCTCAGTGTGTTCTGCTATTTGTCCTATCTGTACTTACTTATATATTTCCAAATAATTTAATGATTATGCCACATATGTTATGGTAAAATCCATAAACTACATCATATACAATTGTTGAAATAACCACCAAACAATTACCACCATTACTTAGACCAGGTCTATAAGAGGGTTGTATGTACGGGGCCGTAGCAACAGTCCGAAGGTTCATTAGTCCGAAACTTCACTATAGAACCTTAGGTGCAATGAACTATTGGTTAAAAAAATCGATGAAAATGTTACTATTTTTAGGACCAATGAACCTTTGCCGGACTATCGAGAAGCCCCCCCTAGGTACATGGTGCATCAATTAAGGCATGGATTGGCTGGACTCTGGCCATGAGGCGCACAGTTCATGCAACACAGCCAAGCAGTGGAGAAAACTGACCCACAATGAGTGCTTTTACCTGGTACTTTACCCTTTTATATGTCATTAAGAATTTTATTTATGTAGACATATTGGGGTATATATACAGTTCCAAAAAGAACCTTTTTGCTAGAACCATATGAGTGTTGCTGTTAGACACCAGCTGACATTACGACATACTTTTATTATATAATGATATTATGTTTTATAAGTCTATCAATATATCGCATATATTCATATTTGCAAATAATTACAATATACATCTACTAGTCTACAATGTGTACATGTACTAGTAATATTAAAAATGTTTAAAAGAAATTGTTTCTAACAGCCCAGAATGAGTAACCTAATAAATAAGGATCGCCTATCTAACTTTAAACATCATTTAAAAGATAATTTTTATTTAAATAATCAATAATGAATATTTTCTGAAAAACTTTGAATTTTTATTTGTAATTATTAAATTAATTGCATCTAGCACTGCCAGCGCATACTATATTGTCCTGATACTTTTAAAGTCTCACAGAAGAGAGTAGTCGGTTTATCTCATTGAGATTACTCTTGCTAAAATAAAAACGAAAGTTCTCTTTTCAGATTGTTAGTGCACTTATTATGAAGATGAGGAAATGACGCAGATGTACTGTCAACACAACCACAGCCGGCTGTCATCTTCTTATAATTCCTAGGAGATGTCTTTGCGCTTTTCTCTTTGAATAAGTTATTTTTTCTACCTGTCGGTAGTGCTCACCCATGTGTGATGTATCCAACCTGACCGAGGGCTGTTCTGCCTGGGCATCCCTGCCAGAATTTGACCCCGATCCGCCCCAAATCCAATTTCGAAGACAGCAGAAGCAGTTCGCCATGTTGGAAATCCCGGAAGTGACGTCGACTTCATGAAGGAAACAAAGTCGAGGTTGGGAATTCCCTTATTGACCTATATATAGATGTTCCATAATAACACGGTTCTTTTAAACATGAAAAATTAAAAGTAATCAACTTTGAAGGTAATTTAGAGAAAGAAATCTGAAATTAAATATAAATTATCATAACAAAAATATCCCTTTTAATAAAAACGTACAATGACCTTTTTTATATACAATAAAAATTAATCAAATTAGGAGTCTAGGACAACATATATTTTTGAGTTCGGGGCAAAGGGTAAGACATAATGATTCAAGTCTGGTAGTAGATAATACATTTTGTGATCTTTAAACATAAAGTAATTGTGTTTTCAAAATATCGCTGAAATGAAGAAGACTAAAAACCACTCAGAGAGTGCACACCTCCGCCAAAGCAACTCAACTCTAATTATTATTAATTATAGATTGATTAGTAAATCAATAAATTAATTTTATATAAACTCAATTCTCATGAGTCATGACCATAAGTTGATTAGCTGATGAATTAACCAAATACCATCAAAATGTAGCACATTTTTACCTGTCCATTTCTGCTCCTCTTCGATTTGAGATGTAATAGATTGCTGTGCCCCTGCTGGGACAGGCAGTAAAGTGGGAGACGGGGATAGGGAGTCCATTAGGGGATAGGACACCATTGCATTTAAATGGGTCAGTCATATTTGATTCCCGGATATGTAAGTCCGTGGATCAACTTTTTTAGGCTCCATTCAGAACAGGGGACTAACTAGTCCGAGGGTCAAATATTGCGACCCCTGTACATGTGTACTTCAGTACATTGTACATGTATATGTAGTGGAAATGGGTGCGTGTTTGGGATTGTGATTTATTTTTATTAACACATTAATTTAATGATTGATTTGTATGAGTTGTTTGGGAGGTAGTTTGCACTTGTGTACAGTAGGGGAGAGATGAGTTCGGAGGTGGTATTTTGGATGTGGTCTCTGGTGGTTTCCTATGTATGGGAGAAATGAGATCGGAAATGCTTGGATTGTGATATTCTGTTTTAAATCTCTATGAAAGGGAAAGATGAGCTGGGGTGAGCTGTGGGGTGTTATATCCCGGTGATTCCCTAGGTACGTAGGCCTAAGGGAAAGATGAAATCGGAAGAGCTGTTGGGATGTGATATCCCGGTGATTCCCTAGGTAAGGGAAAGATGTGCTCGGAAGAGCTGTTATGTGATATCCCGGTGATTCCCTACCCTCTACCAGGGCGAGTGATAGATTTTTTTACAGATATTCACAGATATGTCTCTAGCTAGATAGATGGTCATTTAGGGCTCAACTCAGTTGAGAGATAGAGACATATCTGTAAAAAATATATCACTCGTCCTGGTAGAGAGTAGTGATTCCCTAGGTATGGGAAAGATGGCCTCAGAAGATATGTTTGGGATGTGAAATCCTGGTGATTCATCATTATAAATTTCTTTTCAGGCAAATTATGGCATTTTCAAGTATTTCAGTGTAAATGCTGTTCCCCATGCCGTTTCACTGTGGAAAAAAGGTTTCTACCAGAAGTGGGGTTCGAACCCACGAGGACATACGTCCATTGGATCTTAAGTCCAACGCCTTAACCACTCGGCCATCCTGGTTGATGGCAAAGTGGGTCATTTATATAATCCTCGGACAAAACCTCAAGTAGAGCACTCGAGACATTGGTTTTAGTTCTTGTTTTGTTTATTTGACATCTGATTATTTTACTTATAGCGTGTTGCTTTCTTACTGTCGAAAAGAAGGTTCCCAAATATGCCTATTATTTACACACTCGACAAAATTGACAGGCATGACGTAGACACCTTTGACCTAGATTCCCAAGAAACTAAAAGGAGAGCTAAAGAAAGTGGTATAAGGAATTTCCCTATATTTCCTGTATTTGAAAGAACTAACGTGAACTTGAGATACGTTTTCTTTCATTTCTATGCCTTTGACTTTTGGCCATGCAAAGAATTTTAGTCTTTCACTGAAGTGGGTCATCTTGGCAATTTTGATATGATCGGTGTATAGTAAAAACCCACAGCAACATCACCATAATTTATGTACAATAACAGAATAATTTGCAGAAAACCGAAGAAGTGCTGCTACATAAATGGACAAAATATGCGAATGGAATGCATGCATTTAACGAAGATTTTGGGTATTTTTCATAAACCATTAGGTAAGTGTGTGCTTGTGGTCTCGTATTAAAGATATTTCAATTTTAGTTTGGGCATAATTTGCTTAGGCCTTAGCCTTGATACAGGTTTTTATGTGGTTAATTAAAATTATTAATTAACAGTTACTCGTGATGTTAGGTCTATTCTCTTTAATTAAAATGTATACTTTGATTATATCTTTATTTCTGCACAAACAAAACTGATGAAAATAATACTGTTTATTGAATTTTCAGAACAGCCATGTTACAAGAAGCAAACCTGATGTTGTTGTTTACTCTTATTGAAATTTAGTGAGAGTAGAGAAGAGTGCTTTAAAATGTGAGTAATCTCCACTTAAAAGATCCTACACAGGGTGATATTACCATGAAACTGTGATACACATTTGACAGAGATTCAGTGGAAGGGGCCCAATGAAAGAACTTGTACTATAACTAGTGGAAAGATAAACAGTTTGATATTGCTTCAAAATTTATTGGAGATTACAGTAATATGTTGAGTAGAAAGCAAGGCAGCATACGCGGGGACCCTATCCCCCTCGCTGACTACGGAGCAGATGAGAATCTCAATGATACTATTGACATCCAGTGGGTCAACAAATCCTGGGTGCGCTGGGTGTTCCGGGTTTGTGCGGTTCTCAGCTTTGTTTCAGTAAGTGCCAATACTCCCAAGACATTCGAGACCAGCGTGGAGCTGAAATATGTGACCTTTGCTGTTGACCTTGTTGTGACCTTCGTTTTCACTGCAGAGATGATTGCTAAAATGCACATTCGTGGAATGTGGAAGGTTGGTTTTTATATCAGTTGTATACTTGATTCTTTCCGATGGTCAAACTTGCATTTCTACCTATTAAAATGTATGTACTAGTAATTAACTGACTTACAGTAAAGAATAGACAACAGGTCAAGTATGTAAAAGTTCATGGTAACTAATAAGTTTTGGCTATTACAGTATCTCTGTCTGAGTAAAAGTATAAGAGCGACATCTTTCATTAAAAAAAAAAAACTTGCTTGAGAAAGAGACAGACATGAGTAAGAATAACTGCTGTTGAACTGCTTGCTTCTTATTTATCAAAGTGATTACGGTGATTTCCAGGGTGAGGCTCCGTACCTGAAGGACAGGTGGTGTCAGTTTGATGGCATTATGGTGCTGTGTCTGTGGGTGTCAGTCATACTGCAGGTAAATCATACCAACTCTGTCAACTTATATGAATAGACAGGGGCAGATGGAAGCCGTCTTCTGGAAGATGGTCAGAATTTTCAAGGTTACGTTGATGGGTATTTAATTTTTCTGTCAGAAGACGATAAAAAAATGGAGGATAGAAAAGATATGTAGATTGATATACTTGCAAGAGATTACAAAATAAGTTTTATGATAGCAATTTTGTAGACCTAGGCTCCATAACTCGAAAGCATTGCATATTGCAAATAGCGATATCACATAGAGGCTACAGTGTATTATATGGGGCGAGTTATGGAATCGAGACGCTTGCGCTAGGTCACACTGCGCGATGCTATAGAGTTACGGGACCCTGTATGTGTTTTCTTACATATTAATGAGGATGAAAAGAAACTGATGACTTTTCATCTTTTCCAGGTCTTTGAAATAACAGAAGTTGTTGACCAAAGGTCCAGTTTCTCCATACTCCGTGCTCCACGACCACTGATTTTTATCAGAGTGTTTCGAGTCTTCCTCAAGTTTCAGCTGCCAAAGACGAGGATTAAGTCCATTTTACAGTAAGATATTTATAATACATTTGTTTTCCAATTTTTGTATTTTTATGTGAATATTCAATTACAGAAAATGAGAATGAAAATGATAATTGTAAAAACAGAATTGATGGGTGTATGTTGTTTTTTTTTTTTTTTTTGACAAAAAATTGTGTTAACATGTTTTGATTTAAAAACGTTATAAATGTTACAGTTCAGAATACAATGATGCCCTATACTTGTAGTGATATTACCAGCTTCTGTTGAGCTCTATAATTATATGTTAAATTGATTGTTTTTCCAACTGATTTGCTGAATCTTTGCTGCTTCTTATACCCAGGCTTATACAGAAGTAGGTGTAACTGCTCATAGATAAACTTAAGACTAGCGCTGTGCACCTCATAGGGCAATGATGAAAGATATGCACTTTGTATTAGATTCTCAAGGACATAGTGCACTAGCATAAAGCATATCAGCTACACATGCCAGCCCAATTCATGTCAAAGCACACTGCAAAAATGTGTTTTAATTTGACTCCAGATAAACTTTAGTTTTATTATGATGGTACTTGAATATTTAGTAATACTTTGAAGTTTTTTTTTTACTCAAAGGACACCATACAGATTAAAGTAATTTATTTTCTTTTGCTTTCAGGATTATGTATTAGAATACTAAGTTTGGTAGTGTAGCAGTTAAAGTTTAATTCTTACACACACATTACTAGTAAATATAAAATTGGACCCCAAACATTTTTGGTGTATTCCAATGGTATTTTGGACATTATTTCTTGGTTGTGATTTTCATTGTACCACCAGCGTTAGCGCTGGCGGTACACATGGTTTCGGTCTCGTCCGGATCGTTCCGCCGGCTCCGCCGGACGGCTACCGTTACCACTTCTCCTCCTAGACGGTAAGGCCCCCCATACCCATCTCATGGATTTAGGTCACCTATAATCTCAACTCGTTCCACGTAAAATTTGGGCTTNAATATTAAAAATGTTTAAAAGAAATTGTTTCTAACAGCCCAGAATGAGTAACCTAACAAATAAGGATCGCCTATCTAACTTTAAACATCATTTAAAAGATAATTTTTATTTAAATAATCAATGAATAT